TCTACATTCACAAATGTGACGAAACCTTTCCCGTTTATGGTACAGTCTGAGGGTGCCAGGAGCAGTACCGACTAAGGATCGCAGCATAACATCAGCGAGGTTTCCCTTTATACCAGATGGTTCCAGACACCGAAAAAATAAAAATAAACCTATTCCAGTTTCCTCTGCTGGGCATCAGAGGCATTCTGTCGAGGAAAGCATTACGCCCAAGGCTGTAAAATGTCAATTCTTGAGGCAAATACAGACCCAAGACTTGCTTTGTTTGGCCGGGATCCTTCTTTACAGCTTTCCCGCCAGTGGCCAGTGTTGAAATTTAATAGATTTTGCTCTAAACCTGGATTTCCTCCTTTCTTTAAAAAAAAAAAAAAATCAGATGCCCTCAAAAGGCAGTGCTGGCATTCCCGCGTGGAAGCAACTCGTTTCGGCTGTGGTGACTGCCTCCCTCCAGTGAAACCAGCTCGTTCCAGTTGACTTGTCCCGATGCCCCCAGACCCAGGACGCCCCCCGGATGCTGTGCTGTTGCTATGGGCCACACGGGGTTGTGCTGTGTGTGTTGTGTGTGTGTGTTGTGTTGTGTTGTGTTGTCTGAATGGCATTTCACCCCACGCCTGTATTTATGAGAATTTGGGGGTAAATTACCTTCTTGCCAATTGAATTCTATTGTGGAAGTACAGGGTTACAAGACGATGAGTTTGTTTTGTTTCATTAGTGAAAATCTAGATGTTGATTCAAGTGAGGGCCTGGTGTCATCTCACCCTGGCTGTCTGTAGGGGACAGGACTGTAGGTACAGCAGAGATGCCACACGCCGAGTCAAAGGTTGTTGCCATTGATGAGTGCGGACGGAACTTTCTCAGGCAGCTCGGAAGAAGTCTCTTCTAGGCAAGGATCTCGTTAACCTCTGTTCATGGTGGAGAGAGCGCCAGCTCCATCAATGGGCCCGCGGCTTGTAATGCCGAGCACACTGCTTGTGCACCAAGAATCTCCCCGTGAAGGGCCAGGGCTGGGCTAGATTCTGAATTCCCAGCTCCTTGAGAACTACTCAGTGAGACTGTGAGGGTGGAGGTCCCGCCTTCTCTTGGCAGCAGGGACCACACCTTGCGTCTGCCGGGCCCTGTCCGCTTGGGACTTTCAAATTTCTCTTTATGGAATAGGTGGTTGAGAGGCCACTGCTTGCATTACTCCCGTCCTTTTCCTGGGAATCACAGAATAAACTCTCCACTATTGATGCCTCATGCCGTAAGTGCATGATGCATGATTCTATTATTTCGCAACTGCTTTTGTTTCCTGATAGACACTTCCTAAGCAGCTTTCATAGAAGTTGGAGAAATTCTGTAGAACTTTCTCTTATGCTTCCCCCTGAAAACCTGTTTATCCTGCCAAAATACCTTATGAGGGTGTGTGTGTGTGTGTGTGTGTGTGTGTGTGTGACTAATCTATGTGCAAACTCCAAACATCTAATCTGTGCTTCAACATCTGTGCCAATGGAGCCTAATTAACAGCGCATCTCTCCAGCAGGCCCGGTGCGCGCAGTCAGAGCGGGTGCGGGGTGCCGGGCACGGCCATATGCTGGGCTCTCACCACATAAACGCCTCCTAATCCCTTCTGGGGTGCCGTTTGATGAATACGAAGGGCTTGGATCTTCTCCGAAGCTAACAAGCATTGGTGGTGCTTTTAAAATCCCCCAGTGTCAAGGGATGAGATGCTAACATGAACACATGCTACAAATGAGGGTAAGTTAAACTTTGTGCTGAGACATATTGTCCTGCCTGGGGTGCTCTGAAGTTTTGATAGGGGATAGTTTTCAGAAGATACTTACTTAGAAATAATAAAACCTTATGGAACATGTTTTGGGGCAGGGGCACCTGGGAGGCTCAGTCGGCTTAAGCATCTGACTCTTGACTTGGGCTCAGCTCGTGATCTTGCAGCTCGTGGGATGAAGCCCTGAGTCAGGCTCTGAGCTTACAGTGTGCAGCCTGCTTGGGATTCTCCCTCTCCCTCTCTCTCTGCCCCTCCCCTGCCTGTGCATGCACATTCTCTCTCTCTCTCTCTCTCTGTCAAAATAAATAAATAAACATTAAAAAACAAGACAGTGTTTGGGGGGAGAGCTTTTTCCCTAGACGAAAAAACTAACATGTCTTGGTTTTGCCATAGTGATGGCCCATCAGATAGAGTCCAGGGTTGTCCTGGGCCATCAGTGGAGCTTGGCCGAGAGAGGTCAGGGAGTCCCACTGTGCAGATGCCATGTGTCTCTAATTAAGGTGAACAGTGGACCTTTCTTGTGGTTCTGGGATAAAAATAGCCAGTGAATATGTTCACCCTCCAGGTCCCACGGGAGCTCTAGGGAAACACAATTGAAAATATCTTCTGCCAACTCAGAAAACCTTGCCAAAAAAAAAAAAAAAAAAAAAGCAGAGGCGAAAGAAAAGCAATTTCATGATTGAGTCCATATTAAACCAGAATGTGACGTGCATCACCAGCAATCAGATGGCAAAGCCAGAGATGTCACCATTTGACAGAGCCACGCAGATATAATCAGTCTCATACATGTTCTCATAATAAGTCCATTTTTCTCATTTTTAACTTTGATTGGCTCCTAGAGAACCCTGGCTGGTTTACTAATTGCTACATCCTCGGTGTGTGTAGTGCTTAAGAGAGTGAACATCAGGCCTGGGGACACAGGCAGGCAGGAGAAGCGACAAATGGGCCCAGATCCCGGGTTCAAGTCCTGCGTCCCCTCCCTGAGAGTTTAGCTGGAAGACCCTGGAACAGTCACAGAGTTCTCGCTGCTTGTTCATTCTCCTGTGTCCCAACTGGACCCAGTGCTTGATGGCGAAGGGTCATGGCTTCCATCCTGTGTGTTCATGCTGAGCTGTTAACCCAGGAACTTGGCCTTGCATCCAGGTATCATGAGCCTGACACGAAGCTCAGTCTCACGAACTGTGAGGACGTGAACTGAGCCACACTCAAGAGTCAGGTGCTTAATTGACCAAGCCACCCGGGCACCCCTTCCCCAAACCATGTTCAGTAAGGTTTTGCTATTTCTAGAGAAGTATCTTCCCAAACTTATCCCTTATCCTGACTCAGCTCAAATCCTGACTCTGTCTCTTGCAGGCTCTGTGCCCTTGATGAGTTGGCTTCTCTTAGCTTCAGCTGGTGCCTTCTGGTGGAAGAGTCAGCATACTTCATGCCACACGATTGTCATGAGGATTAAGTGCATAAAGGACATACTAAGTTCTAAGAACAATGCCCAGTGCATGGAGCGCGCTCCATACAGGCTCATGATGTTAAGGCAACGCCCCAAAATGTGCGCAAGTGCTCTTTAAGGGGAAGAGAGTAATTCATCATTTTTGCAAAACTACATCAAGCATATGAAACAGCCTTTAGGTTTGTATCAAAAATGACTGTTGAGGGGCGCCTGGGTTCGAGCCCCGCGTCGCGCTCTGTGCTGACAGCTCAGAGCCTGGAACCTGTTTCAGTCTGTGACTCCCTCTCTCTCTGACCCTCCCCTGCTCACGCTCTCTCTCTCTCTCTCTCTCCTAGAAGTAAATAAAACATAAAAAAAAAATGACTGTTGAAAGTTTTTTTTTTTGTTTTGTTTTGTTTTTTTTTTAAGCGGCGCTTGGGTGACTTAGTCAGTTGAGTGTCCAACTCTTGGTTTCAGCTCAAGTCATGACCTCACCGTTCGTGGGTTCAGGCCCCACGTCGAGCTCTGTGCTGACAGCATGGAGCCTGCTCGGGATTCTTTTTCTCCTTCTCTCTCTGCCCCTCCCCAGCTCATACATTCTCTCCATCTCTGTCTCTCTCTCTCTCACTCTTTCTCTCAAAATAAATAAATAAACATTTAAAAAGTTTTTCTTAATGTATTTTGCGTATCTTCATATAGATTTGTGCATTTTCTGTGTATGTGTGCAAAACTTGCCATCTGATTCTGTAGCTTTTCTTCCTTGCTACGCAGCTTCCCATCTGTCAGGTTGAGAGCAGGGTGATGAGGGGAGTTATAATGCTCAGCCAGGCTTCCTGAAGTTGAGACAGACAGATCGATTCACTGGCAAACTCAGCGAGAGGCCAGGGGTGAGCGCACACACTAACCTCTCCCTTCTCTTTTTAAAGACAGTGAGATGGTGGGAGGCATGGATGCCGGCTCCCTGCGAGTCCTGCCCTCTGTTCCTCTCAGTGACCTTGGGCTGGTGACTGGTGCCATCGGTCCTCAGCTTCCTCTCATGACATTGGGAATGATAACAGCGTTCCAGATGATAGTTCTATAACCCAAGACCTCTATATTCTATAACTCAAATGTGTGTAATGCATGTACATATAAAACATTTACCTTCTGAAGTATACATGAAATACACAATAACCCATAAAGCATACATACAAATTGTACCTGTACTATGTAACATTAATATATGTAATGAATACATAATGCCTACAAATACAATGTATTTATATGTAATGTAAATATAAAATACGTACAAAATGCATAATAATCCATTAGACACAAATTATATATCATTGCTCTACATATATATGTACTATAATACTAATAATGATATATATAATGTATTGTACTATATGATATACATACACATTATATATGATTGCTATACATATACACTATGTATATATACACATATATTCTATGTATATGCTATACATATATACTGTATATACTATGTATATATGTATACTAATAATACACTATAGTGTAATATGCACAGTATATATGTATAGGCATGGTATATTATTACTATTATACTATACATAACATATATGTATAGTCATGTACTATACGTACTACATATGTATAGTCACATACTGTATTACTATACATTGTATCATTACATATTATGTTACTGACTGTACATGGGTATTGAACCCACACCCAGAGTGTCTAATCAGTATGACCCCCCTTCTTGCGATGACCTGAGGTGCTTTGCCCCTGTGGTAAGATAACGATGCAGGAACTGTGACCCGGTGTTGGGCTACTACTATTGCCCATATGAGGACAAGTCAGGAGGACCATCTGCTCCTGACCACAGTTGATCACAGGTGAGTGAAGCTTTGGATCAGGGGACGACTGTACTGTCTGCCCAGCCTAGAATCATCCATGCGTCTAAGAAGCCTGGCCCCTTGTAACTGCAAATGACATCAGAAACCAAAAGAGCCTGGAGAAGCATAAGAAAAGCAATGAATGGGGTTAGAAAAATGTGCGGCGAAGGGCAGAGAGCCTCAGTGGGGAGGCACACATTACACGTATGAACACGCGTGTAAACATGTGTATTGCTGGGTGGGGGAGGGGCAGGTAGAGAAACACATCCGGGAGGCAATGGAGAGGAGCCCCGGTAGATGTGACCGCCGTCCACCAGCAGGGTGCGTGCGCATCCGCAGGGCCCTGCTCCTGAGGCCGTGGGGGCAGGTCTCACGATGGTGCAGGAGGCTCTGGCCAGAGGGGGCTGCCCTTGACCTCAGGAAGAACACCGCTGCCTGCAGACTGAGCATCTTCTGAAGTTCCACCTTCCTGGACACCTACTTCTCACTCTTCATGAAACTTCTGAGGCCATGGGGTGGCAGAACTTCTCGAGAAAACTCATGACCCGACACTCACTGTCTTTCAGGGAATGGTGGAAGCTTTCTGTTTTCCGCTTGGTTTGCTTTTTCCTTTTCAACTGTCACGAATGGAACATTTAAAAGTCAGCTTGGGGACCCTTTCTGAGATCCTGGACTGAACTCAGGTGGCCAGGGACAAGCTGGAAACCTGCCCATCTGCCCTCTGATTTTCCAAGGTGGCGTCTCCGTCTGCGCTGCAGATTGTTGCGGGGGGCGGTTACAGGCACATCTCTCCCGTGGGAGAGTCATGACCTCTGTGGTCCGGGAGAATAGCCCCCAGGGGGTGGGGGTGTATTTATTTATTTATAATGGGGAGGGGGTGGCTTTTAAACCCAATTTCCCAAACACCTTGCTCCTGTAGCCGAATCTTTTCCTTATGTTTCGTGTGCTCTGGAAAGCATATGTATACATTACAGTAAAAAATATGTTAGGAGGGTAAATCTCCTACGTTAGGTGTTCTTACCACAGGAGTTATTATTATCATCATCATCGGCATTATTATTATTATTTGAAAAGGCCAGATTTCTGACAAATTGGGTGCCCTGGCTTCCCCGGGAAACAGAGACTGGGAATTCGTGAGCAGAATTCAGAGGTCATTTTCCCAGCTGCTCCCCTCACCAGCTGTGGGCCTGCGTTCTGTTTATCCAAACACTTGATCAAGAAACACGGGGGCCCACGTCTCGAGTAGCAGACTTGCATCTTCTTGGTTGCTAACAAAACAAAACACAAAGCAGCAGCACCATAAATTTGCTTTCATAATAGGTCTTCTGTAACAGGTGTAGCCGAGTCTATAAAGAGACACCCAGTATAAACACCCTGGAGGGAGAAAGAAGACAAAGAAACTCTCTCAAGTATCATCATAAATAAGCGATTTTTGTTGTTGTTTTGCTTTGACTTTGGAAATAGCTATCAGCTCACGGAATCCAGCGTTGCTGAGGCAATGAATCCCCCAGCATGGGGGCAGAATGAGGGAGCCGATAAGTGCCTGGGGCTGAGTATCTGATTTTTGAGGCAGAAGAGAAGCTGAAATGAGAGGATGAAGTGCCTATTCTGTGTGTAAACAGAAAGTGGATTAGAGAGGAAAGCGTTTATGTCCTATGAAGTCTAACAGCCGCTTAAGTGGATGCTATTATTTGACAGGCAGTGTGGGCTGCTAATGGCCGCTCTGCTCCTCTCCCTGTTTTGTAGCCGTGCAGATTGAAATGATAGCAAAGGAGTCCTTAGTGACGGAAGGTGCCCGGGGTCGTGCACGCTAGGTGGCTGCCGCTGCCCCTCTGGGAGACCACGGGCGACTAGAAGTAGCTCCGTGGCTGGAAACCAAGTAAATCCACCAAGGGAGAGCAGCGATGTTGCCCCAGCAGCCGATGCCGTGCTGGACACCGCCGGGGATGTTGTGAATTAGAAGAGATCTCTGTGTTGGTCTTTGTCTGTCGTTCCTGGTTCACAGCCCCCAAGACCCTTGGGGTTTTCTAAGTGGTAAGAGCAATTTCGAGCCTCTGCCGTTACCATAGTGGATCTTGTGTCTTGAGTGGGGAGTCATAAAGGCAGAAGGCCTGTTGGATATTCATAACGAGCCCCTTGTAACCACACAGGTTCCCGACCCACCCTGTTTCCTGCCTCTCCTGGAGCCGGAGCTGAGCCCTGTGAGATCCCCACCCGCACCTGTTCTGGCAATGTGAACACCACCATCACTCTTACCTACTATTGCTCGTGTCGGGTGCCGGCCTCAGGCCCTACAGCACGGCTCGTCTGTTCCCCTTCCTGTACAGCCGCCGCTGACGTGGGCACCCCCGATTTCCCAGGAGAGGAGAGTGAGGACCAGAGTGCTCCCAGGCCTTGTCTGAGTTAGTGTGGAACAGGGCTACGGGGCTAGTTTTGTTACGATCTGGAGCTCAAACAACTGCTTCCCCAACTGCTTCCTATTGGAACGCTAGGGGCTCTTTGAAACATGCGGATGCTGGGCTCCGACTTCAAGTCACCCTGATTAAATTTCTGTGGGCTGAAACTGGGGAGTAGGATCTCCCCGGGAGGTTCCATAGTGCAGCAAAGTTCGGGAACCCCTGACCACCTTCTTCATTCTGGAACTGTCTCTCCCGCTGGCTGGATCCCACCCTTGAGCAAAGACAAGTTGGGGTCAAGAGACAGCGTCTTTGTTTCCTGGGTTCGGGGCATGAAGCCACAGTTGTGGCGGAGGGTGAAGACCCTTCGTGCCCGATGGCGAAGATGCTGTAAATGGATCTGTGGACACGCACGTCTGGCCAGGAGAGAGCCACGTCCTGACATTTTATGAGCACAGTCCCGCGACTGCTGGACAACTGAGGGTTTCTCAAACACCCCTAACGATGATCATGCTCCTTCTGGCTTGTTTGTGTCCCCAGACCCACCCGGGGGAGTGAGGATGAGGAGGACGAGGAGAAGAAGGGGCGCGGCTGCTCCCTGCAGTACCAGCACGCCACGGTGTGTGTCCTCACCCCGTTTGTGGCCGAGGCGCCCGACTTGGGTCAGCTGAGCTACATGCTGGGCCCCGACTGGCAGTTCGACATCACTGACCTGGTGATGGAGTCCATGAAGGTGGAGGAGCCGAGGATCGCGCAGTTACAGGGCGGCTGGACCCTGGTGGGCCGGGAGCCGGGGATGCCCAGCATGCGGCTGTAATTCACTGCCTGACCCTTTCCCCAAATACTAGACCCATTCTTTGCTCGTGTCCGGATATGTTAGTGTGAGGTGCTTCTGTGCATGTGAGTGTCTGTCCGTGAGAGGGGATGATGAAAGCAATACACGGAGTTCATCGGTTTGTGCCCCGTTTTCAGAAATTTGTTTCTAATTAACCACAGAAAGCTTTTCAAATTAGAGACCCTCTTTTTTTTAGCATCTTTTTTTTTTTCAAATTTGTATTTAAATTCTAGTTAGTGTACGTACAGTGCACTGCTGGTTCCAGGAGCAGAATTCAGTGATTCATCACTTACATAGGACACGCTCCTTAATACGCGTCGCTCACCTAGCCCATCCCCCACCCACGTCCCTCCGTCCACCCTCAATTTGTTCTCTATCTTTAAGAGTCTCCTCGGGAGCCTGGGTGGCTCAGTTGGTTAAGTGTCTGACTTCGGCTCAGGTCAGGATCTCACGGTTCGTGGGTTCAAGCCCCACGTCGGGCTCTGTGCTGACAGCTCAGAGGCTGGAGCCTGTTCAGATTCTGTGTCTTCCTCTCTCTCTGCCCCTCCCCTGCTCACGCTGTATGTCTCTCTCTCAGAATAAGTAAAACATTTAAAAGAATTTTAAGAGTCTCCTATGGTTTATTTCCTTCTCTTCTCTCCCCTCCTTCCCATGTGTTCACCTGTTTTGTTTCCTAAATTCCACATGAGTGAAATCACATGGTATTTGTCTTTCTCTGATTGACTTATCTCACTTAGCAGAATACATTCTAGCTTCATCCCCATCATTGCAAACGGCAAGATCTCATTCTTTATGATGGCTGAGTAATATTCCATTGTGTGTCCAGCCACAGGACACTTGGCGAAGTCTGGACACATTCTGCTTGTCGTGTGTATTTGCAAGTACCCGCGTGTTTCACAATGTTAAGCCTTCTCTTTTGTTAGACTATTATGAAAAATATTTCATAGTTATTTTAATAAGATGGCTGTGAAGAGATTATACAATGGATCATTATCTTTACAAAGTGTTTAGATATTCCTTATCACACCACGATTTAGGGCTTACCCAAACCTGATTTTGCAAAAGCTGGTTTACTGATACTGCATTAGTCCAGGTCTGAAACACTCTGGTTGCAGATTGTTGCTTTATGAGGTGAAGTAACATTTTAGGGCCATTAAGATTCCTTTTTCCACGGAATCTTCTCAGCAAGCTCAGAGATGCCACAAGGCTCTGTAATTACTGTCTGATAAACATCTAACTATCCAAAGAGAAAGAATTAAATGGGAGAAGAGGGCGAGACACCATTTCCCTAAATATTTTTAGTAAAAAGATGTCAGAATATAACTATTCATTCTGAGCAACATGTCACATTTTCTGTGCTTTAATGGGCTAACACCAGCAGGGAGACAATATTCCTTAATTTGGGGGGAATTGTCGCTAAATTAAATCAAGCTCTTTGGAGAACATAACTGACTAACGTATAAATCAAAGGAAATAATATGTATTGGGTAGATCTATTTATCATTCCGTGTTTTCCAATGAGGGGGATGCAATTAAACATTAAAAATGTTCTTCTAAACCATATGCATTTCAGCGAGTCGCCCAAGCCCAACACCATCTGTCATCGGGTACAAATCTACTGTCTGACAAAGTCAAGTATCCTGACCTATTGCTCTTGGGAAGACCACACGCCGAGGAAATGTGGGAAATCTTATTGGACCCAAGAGATAGAGTGTGGAAGAAAGCTGGCAAGGGCTGAGGGCAGGGAAGTTTCTAACCAAGCAGAAGGCAGCTCTGGACACACTGGACGGGGCAACGGCCCCAGGGTTCTGCTTGATAGCGAAGCACAGATCTCACACACGTGGGGAATGTAGCTTCAGAAACCCTTTGTCTAAGTCCTGCACTGGAGGTGGAAATCAGACTCGCTTCCCTGGGTCACAGTGACTTAGATCCAGAAGGCAAGAGACGGATTCATCCTGCGTGATGACAGGATTTCAAAGAGCAAAGTTTCCGATAATCTTTGCGTTTAGAGAACAGGGTTCCTCAGGGGCCAAAGAAGATAGCAGCCACCCCCCAAAAAAGGGGTTGATTCTGATACTGCAGCTGTATCTTGTCCCTGGGAGGAGTGTTTCCTGCTGATGTGGCAGGTGACTTTAGCCATGTCTGTCATCGCAGCCAGATAAAGGGAAGGGCAGGTTTTTCCTCTCTTGGTCTGAGTAGTTCCTACTTTCTGGAGACTCATTTAGCGCTGAGAACACACTTTGGGGTTTAAAGGATGATGAGCAAAGAAATTATTGAAAATAAGGCATTCACCTGCTTACAAAGCCCCACGTTCTTTTGCAAGAATTTTACCAGTTTCTTTCCTTTTTTCCCCCTCATTAATGATGTGTGGAGCAGAGACGGCCTTGCTCGCTTCCTTTGAAGGTGCTCTCCCCGCTCTCTGACTCCATCCTGGCCGAGAAGACGGTGATCGTCCTGGATGACCGCGTCACCATCGCCGACCTGGGCGTGCAGCTGGTGGCTGGCTTGTCTCTTGCCCTGAAGCCTCACAGAGCGGACAAAAGAGCCATCGTCTCGATGGTGGCCGCCCAGGACGTTCTCCAGGCCCCGCAGCAGGTGGGATTCCAGAGTCCTTTTGTCCCCGGTCATTGAGACCACTTCCCTCCCCCTCGCATCTGCAGACGGCATCAGTAGAGCCCTTGTAGCTAGGACAAGTCTTTGCAGCTTCTTCCTGCTTCTATCCAGTCTGTCTCATCTCTGAGAAAAGTGCTTCGGACTTTGGATAAATTGTCCTCTTATATTTTACATACTGACCATGTGTCCAAATACCACTTAGCAGCAAGTTATCTGTGACGGGCGGTGGGGGGGGGGGGAAACTACTGATAGACCATAACCAAAAGATGGCATATATTAACTTTTCCAAAATAAGTAATCATTGATACTTGCAAATTCTATTTCTGCCACTTAAACAAGTATGGCTAATGGGCACCAGACATCTGTTGGTTTATATTAATTATGGACAACTTTAAACTTGTAGCAAATCTAGTTGATTTATGCCAAGGTCATTGTGTCTTTCAAGCATGCCAGTCCCCACAGTACATCATTTCTCAGATACTTCAAATGAGCGTGTCTTCCTAATACAGAATGCTTGAAGTGATATTATCTTGAGCCTGATTAGTTGCACCTGAAATTGATTCAGATGCATCATGTGATCTTTCACACTCTTTGGAGAATTCAAAGTCAAATTCTGTTATAGGACATTCAATACGTTAATATACACAGCACTGCATGCACCACGGTCTACACATTTGCTCCTCACACCCGTACGATTACAGTCAGTTATTTATGCCAGTTTGATATATGACAGCAACCGATCCAGGTTTTAAAACATAGTTATTCTTCTCTGTCTAGGTATTGAAAACATCTCTCGTAGGAAACCACATGTGTGCTTTATACATTTGTGTACGTGTTTACCCATTTGAAGGAAGTGAATTATAACATAAAGCTTTAATTTCATTTTTCTTTGTCACTGGATTTTGTTCAGTGATGGTTCAGTGACACCCTTAGACATTTATGATTCTGAGGATTTTTCAGTTACTGTGTCGTCATTGGATGAAATGGTGGTGTCTGTCCAGGCAAACCTTCAGTCCAAATGGCCGGTTGTGGTTGCACAAGGTGAAGGCCAAGGTCCCCTGATTAAATTAGAAATGATGATTAGTGAGCCCTGTCAGAAGACCAAGAGGAAGAGTGTTCTTGCTGTGGGTAAAGGAAATGTCAAGGTCAAATTTGAACCAAACGTTGATGAGCACCTGGGAGGCATCAACGATATCGAGGGCTTCAGTCGGGAATATAAAGACCACTTCACTAATTCCATAGGGCGTGAAGGAAACCAGGAGAGAGCGGTTCAGGAGTGGTTCCAACATGGCGCCTCTGTTGGCCAAGAGGAACGTAGCAACAAAAGCACAATCCCACAGTCCCCGCTGGAAGGAAAGGATAAGAAGTTACTCAAGAGTGTCAGTCCAGACGTCTTCACAAGCTTCCCCACTCAAGGGAAGTTACCGGAACCCAATAATCCCAGTGACCTTACAGTGACCTCAAGGGGGTTAACTGACTTGGAGATCAGCATGTACGCTCTGCTCTGTGTCTTCTGCCTGGGCATTTTGGTCTTCTTAATTAACTGTGTGGCATTTGCTTGGAAATACAGACACAAAAGATTCGCTGTGAGCGAACAAGGCAACATCTCCCACTCCCATGACTGGCTCTGGCTTGGGAATGAAGTAGAACTTCTGGAAAACCCCGTGGACATCACCCTCCCATCAGAGGAGTGCACAACCATGATAGACAGGGGGCGGCAGTTTGAGGAGAGGAACTTCCTTCTCAACGGCGGCTCCCAGAAGACTTTCCACAGTCAACTACTCTTTCACAAACATGACTAGGGAAAAGTCTAGTCCTTTCTTCAAGATCTGTTTGATTGTCATACAAGTTCTGTTACCTGGGATTTGTCATGTCTTGCCTTGACTGAGTGCCCATGCTGGACATTGGTTTTCTCCACCTGCCCTCACATCAGTGTTCAGGGGCAGTGAATAAATTCATGTCCCTACTTTATCTTTCCTAGTTTTCTTTATTTGAAATATTTTGTATCTGAATTGTACAAAAGGCTTCACTTAATATATGTGTCAATAAAAAGTGCTCTTTAACAAATAATTTTCTATGAAGCTTTTTTCCCACATAAATTTTGGGGAAATGTTGACATCACAAACATGTTTATTGTGTTTCCTCTGGTCGCTATAGCTTCATGAGGAAACTAATGCGGCTCCTTCCTTGGAGGCGTCCAATCTCTCAAACTATTGTTAGCTGTATTTATGAAGCACTATGAGCATCAATTTTTTGCACCCAAAGTGAAATCTAAAAATAGTGATTATATGTACAGTGGAGGAATTGCCAAGGAAACAGCAGCAGATGAGACCTGCCATTTGTGTGAATAAAAGTAAAGAGAAATGGATGATATTCCAATTTAACAGTATGTTGACATCCAGCTGTATGATAAGAAGTGAGATGTTCACAATTGTTTTTGTGGTAGAAACAAAACATCCAGGGGTGCCCAGGGGGTTCATTTGGTTAAGCGTCTGAGTTCAGCTCAGGTCATGATCTCATGGCTTGTGAGTTCAAGCCCCGTGTCAGGCTCTGTGCTGACAGCTCAGAGCCTGGAGCCTGCTTCGGATTCTGTGTCTCCCTCTCTTTCTATCTCTTCCCTGCTCACTTTCTCTCTCTCTCTCTCTCATTCTCTCTCTCTCTCTCTCAAAAATAAATGAATATTTTTTAAAAATTCAAAACATCCACAGGATGCACAGTGGAGAGAGGAAAGTAACTGGCCTGGATGTGAACACACACGCACACACAAAACACACACAAAAATCATGAAAGGAAATGGCAATTCCAAGATTGAGCTTTTTTTAGGGAAAACACAGTGGGTGTAAATCCATGGCAAAGAAGGAAGAAATTGCATATTGCATGATTCTTGCATAACTTATGAAGTATAACATGTTACTGGATAAACCACAGAAATGGTCAGAAGCAAAAGAATTCAGGGTAGTAAGATTAAGTACAATTTTTTTAGATTTTTTTTTTGAGAGAGAGAGAATGGGCGAGAGAAAGGGAGAGTCAGAGAGACAGAAAATCCTAAGCAGGCTCCACATTGCACAGAGCCTGATGCAGGACTCGAACTCATGAACCGTGAGACCACGACCTGAGCTGAGATCAAGAGTCAGACACTGAACCAACAGAGCCACCTAGGTGCCCAGGATCTGTCTATCTTAATCATTGTTTTCATGATTATCAAGGAGATTGGTATCTATTGTAAGGTATCTAAAAAGTGTATACATGTATAAAGGAAAAAAGATAAAATGTCAGAAATAACCACTGACAATAATGACAAAGATTATTTAAAAAGTGGCTGAGGCTTGCAGGAAGCGTTTTTTGTTAGCCTTTGGATGATTCCGAGGTTTCCCACAGTATCCCCTGGAGGGGTAGCCTCACCAAGCAGACAGAACATGCTAATTCCAACATAATTATTCAAATGAAGTCGACTCCTTCTCACTTCCCTTATCTCCATTTGGATACTTGACATTTGGCTCAAGCATAATGGGAATTCGCTTCTGAAATAGAAGCGTCTAAACTCAGTTACAGGGTGAGTCATGCACAGTCAGCCAGGCACGCCCCCTGGAAAGGAGACTTTGGGGGTGAGGGGTTTGTGTGTTGGGTGGGGACACAATGGATGTCACCTCCTGGGCCATAGCCTGTTGATAGCAGCCTGCGCACCATGACACCTCCCCCGGCGAGCTGGCTGACTCGTGTTGGTGCAGGACAAACTGACAATGTGGACACGTGGCGGAGGTGGACGTCAGGACTGGGAAATGTACCACGTCCCTGAAGAGGAGTTTGTGGGCAGAGATGATGTGAGCTCGCTCAGCGAGATACAGTCGCTCCTGGGCAGTCCATCTGCAGCTTGTGCTAAAGCTCAGCATAAAGTCAAAAACCGGACGAGGTCTGGGATCCCCTTTCCAAACTGCCCCCTTTCCCATATGTCTGCGGGGGGTGTAATATTTGTTACAGAGCAAAAGAATAAACATTTTGGTTTGAAGCCACGGGGCCTCTAAATGTCGGCAAACTCTGGCACTGGCTCTCATCCACTTAGCAAAATTTCTCCGGCGTTACGTCTGCTCTGAAAGTTCCTTTGCTGATTAGAAGCCGTGGGCTGTCCTTACTCTTGTCTTCCATCTACGGAACAGAATTGTGTCCCGAGAAGCGAAACGCAGCGTGGAAAAATGGACGCGAGTTATTAGTTCTGAGATGCAGCTCCCTGGGGTCACAGGCCGTTTGCCTAAATTGAGCAGGGTTTTCGTGGATGAGACACTCACACTGTGGGTCTGAGCAAACAATTCCATCCAATGCGTGCTATAGATAAAGGCCCTCACTGCAGGATGGAATGACTCAGATTAATCCTGGTCAATCCGTCTTGGGAGCCACCCAGTTTTGTGCATCCTTGAAGACACAGAAGGTACAGGTGATTCTCTGAGAATTCACCTCACACACTGCAGTTGTGAGAGGTCCGTGTCCTGGGTCTGGCTGGGGGTACCATTTTGGAGACCAGGAAATGGGGATGGGGAAGCGGAGACCTCACAGAGACAGTGGGGTTGAAATCCACAGGCGCGCTGAGTCGGGAGACAGCAAGGACAGAAGACATTCGACATCTTCCCTGGGGATAAACAGCACCCAGCACCTCCCAGAAAGCACCACGTGTACAGAGCGGAACGGACTTCCTCGCTTTTATTTTGCAAACAGACCGAGTTATTCCCAGACCGAAACCATCCAGAAGCCCCTCCAGAACACGGGGGACAGAGAACATCGAGGCAAGAGGGAAGAGGAGTTCCTGGTTTCACGGCCACGTGGGCAGCCGAGTTTACCGTGACTGTGCGGTTTGAGCAGAATGCCGATTTCACCCCATTTCGTGGGGGCGGCAGTGCAGGCGGGCCGTCTGGGTACAACCCCAGTCAACAGCGACGGCAGAAGGAAATTGCCTCCCATCTCAAAACAGCACCGAAACGGGTTTTTCTCCCCTCAAAAGCCTCAGCCCACTTCTCTGTCCGTGTAAACACAATATGAGTGCCTTCTGAAATAACGGCCATCTCCCGGGTCGAAAATATACCTGACTAATACCATGAACTTAGGGCTCAATAGAAGGTGTCAGTGATCCGGCTTATCCCTCTGATGGAGAGAGGGGGCTGGCTCTGCTCTGTGTGCTGGTTCCCAGACCGGGTTCCAAGAATACTCGGGATTCCCTGCCGTTGCTGTCCACACACTCCATTTCCCCCAGCGTTTTGGCAAATAGGACTGACCCCACTGGGTGGGTGCATGTTGTCTGAGGTTACGACCCTGGTCCTGCCCTCCAGTGATCCAGGTGCTTGGCAACCAGCCCTATGAGTTCACAATATTCCCATGTAAACAATTGGTGATTTTTTTGCAAATCAGTTAAGGTAAATGTGAACTTAAAAGTCGTAAAAACAATAAGAAACTTTACCTTTAAGAAACATTTTAGGGGCACCCGAGTAGCTCAGTCAGTTAAGCATCCAGCTCTTGATGTGAGCTTAGGTTATAATCTCACAGTTGGTGGATTCGAGCCCTGCATTGGGCTCTGTGCTGACAGCATGGAGTCGGCTTGGGATTCTCTCTCTCTCCCTCTCTGTCTGCCTCTACTCTGCTCATACTTTCTCTCTTTCTCTCCATCTCTCTCAAAATAAATAAATAAACTTAAATAAAGAAACATTTTCTTTATTCCTGTAGACACCCAGGCAAGATTTTCTATAGATGGTTGTCCCAGTATACTAAAGATAGGAAGAGGTCAGGTATTTTTCACATCCCACTCAGGTCAAACCAAATTAAAACTCAGAAGAAGGAAATATTCAAGGTCTAGCAGATGGTTCTCTTCATTCCTCTTTTGAGCTATATTTGTGAACAGCTTGGATGTGGGCATGTATGTGTGTGTTCATGTATGTGTATTTGTGTGCATGTATGTGTAGTGTGTATTGTATGGTGTGTAGGTCGGTGTCCGTGTGTGTTTATGCATGTGTTTGTGTCTGCATATGTGTTTGTGGTTGTTTATGTGTGTTGCTATGTGCATGTACCTGTACATGTGTGGTTTTTTATGTGTCTTGTGTGCATGTATGTGTTTGTGTTCATGCACATGTCTCTGTGTGCTCCGTGTGTGTATGTGTTTGTGATGGGGGCAGGGCATGGGCGCATGATCTGTCTGGTGCTCCACAGCAGACAGAGCTCTAGAGACCTAAGAAAAATGCAAGACAGCTGGGGATTCTGGTTGGATCTCCGAAGATTTGTGCAGACATCTCAGCCAAAAGACTGGCAGGTGCATTTGCCAAGTTCTCTCAGCTGTATGTGCACTTTTCAAAGCTACCAGCATCACCCTGGCCATTTTGGCAAATGCCACACTTTGTTTTCAGGATGAAAAGAGAGATCTCCCTGGAAATCCAGGGTTTGAATCGCTCGATAAGTCTTAATAAATCCCCTCAGCCAAGCCTGTTCTTTGTCCGCACCCCATAGGAACTCACAAGTAAGTAGGCACCAATGGCAAAGGGTCTTTGTGAAAGAGTCTGTGAAAGGCTGTGGCTGCCTGCTTCAAAAGGGCTGGCAGAATATGAATCAGATGCTCTTGCAAATTCCCAATCCATTCTTCCCCATCAGCATAATTCCCAAACTATAAAAAGTATTTTTCACTAATAGTTTCATCCTGTTTGTTTTCTAACAGAAAACAGAGCCGAGCCACTGGCCACTGACAGTTCTTGCTTCTCCCTCAGTGTGCACTGATGCTTAGTAATTGCATTCCAGGATAGAAGAAAGTTTGAAATGTAACTCAAAAACAAAA